TATTTTTTATTTTAATATTTTTTTGTATTTTATATAAAATATTTATTAATAATTTTATTTTATATTTAATATTTTTATAAAGCATTCCATGCCTTGTGGTTTCTACGTTTTTCAAAGGGTTTTTCAAGCTTAATTACTAAAATTACAAAATAATATTAGTTTGTTAATTATAATAAAATAATAATAAAAAACGTTCACTATAAATATTATGGCGCCTTGGCTCTATTTGGAACAATACCTTTCTTTCTTTTACTTTCTGTTTTCTATTCATTTGCTTGCTTTTTCTTCTTTTTCACAAAATTATCAAATTTTTACAAAATTATAAAGTTTTAGTAAAATTAATTTGAATTTTTTTTTTTTAGATTTTTCTTAAATTCTTCTCTTCTCTTTCATTTCTTTTTATTTTTAATGTTTTTTTAAAACTAATTTTGTAAATTTTATGCCGAAAAAATTTAGTTTAAATATATTTTAACTAATTTACAAGGTTATTTACTTAAAATTTAATTTTATATAAAAAAAAATATTTATTCAAAATATTGCATTTAAATAAAATTTTTATAAAATGGCAAAAGATCTTTTAAAAAATCTTTAAATTCTTAAAATTATTTTTTTTTTAGTTTAAGTAATTGAAAAGTGAATTTTTATAATTTTTTCACATCCTCCTTATATTTTTTTTTGTAAAAAACGTGAAAATTTCCAAAATTTTAAAAATTTTTATTCGAATAATCGGTTTTTTGATTAATCGGTTTTAAGAATAATCGTTAAAAATTTCCAAAATTTTGTTTAAAAATTACTTAAATTATGAAATTATAACAAATTTCATTCAACTTTTATAAAATTTCTTACGTTTTTACTTAATTATTCGTTTCAACGATTATTCGGTTTAACGATTATTCGTTTTAAATTCGTTTATTAACCATATTTTTGTAAATAATATTCAAAATTCTATAAATTTGCAAATTTTTATAAGAATAATCGGTTATTCGTTTAATCGGTTTTACGAATAATCGTTCAAATCTCATAAAATTATTTAAAATTTTATTAAAAATTGCTTTAATTACGAAATTATATTCAATTTTGTTTAATTTTAAGAAAAATTCTTGTGTTTTTATTGAATTATTCGTTTACTCGATTATTCGGTTTAAGGATTATTCGTTTTAAATTCATTTGTTAAACATATTTTTGTTAATATTAACATACATCCTATAAATAAGCAAATTTTTAAACTAATAATCGGTTATTCGCAAAATCGGTTTTACGAATAATCGTTCAAATTTCACAATCGATTAATCGGTTTAACGATTATTCGTTTTACATTCATTTCTTAAACATATTTCCTTGATATTAACGTAAATCCTATAAATTTGCAAATTTTTAAACGAATAATCGTTTATTCGTTTAATCGGTTTTGCGAATAATCGTTAAAATTTCATAAAAATTCAAATTTTGTTGGTTAAAATTGCTTAAAACAAGAAATTAATACAAATTCTATTTAATTTTTGTAAATTTTATTCATTTTTACAGAATTATTCGTTTAATCGATTATTCGGTTTAACGATTATTCGTTAAAATTTCATTGGAAACTAGAAATTTGATTACCGTGAAGCAAAATTCCATATATTCACGAAATTTTTTTTCTATTATTCGAATAATTTTTTTAATCGGTTTTACGAATAATCGTTAAAATTTCTCCAAAATGCTACCCTTTTTGGCTGAGACTTGCTTAAATCAAGAAGAAAGAATGTATAACAAATTCTTTAAATTTTTAAAATTTTCTTGGTTTTAAGGAATTATTCGTTTAATCGATTATTCGGTTCAGCGATTATTCGTTAAAATTTCACCTGAAATTTGAATTTTGCTTACCTTGAAATAAAATTCTATAATTTCATGAAATTTTTTTTTTTAATTATTCGATTAATTTTTTTAACGGGTTTACGAATAATCGTTTAAAAATTACCAAAAACATTAAAATTTCTGCTAAAAATTTGTTTAAACAAGCAGTAGTTTCAAATTCTGTTTAATTTTTATATTTTTTTTTGTTTTTATGGCATTATTCGTTTAATCGATTATTCGGTTCAAGCATTATTCGTTATAAATTCATTTAAAATATAGATTTTTGCAACCACTGCAATGTTTACTTTATAACTGGAAACTTTTTGTGCAATTATTCGAATAATTTCTTAACCGGGTTTTCGAATAATCGTTTAAAAATTACCAAAAACATTAAAAATTCTATTAAAAATTTGTTTAAACAAGCAGTGGTTTTAAATTCTGTTTAATTTCTATAAATGTTCTTTGTTTTTATCAAATTATTCGTTTAATCGATTATTCGGTTCAAGGATTATTCGTTATAAATTCATTTAAAATATAGATTTTTGCAACCGCTGCCATGTTTACTTTATAACATAAAACTTTTTGCGCGATTATTCGAATAATTTCTTAACCGGTTTTTCGAATAATCGTTTAAAAATTAACAAAAACATTAAAAATTCTATTAAAAATTCGTTTAAACAAGCAGTAGTTTCAAATTCTGTTTAATTTCTATAAATTTTTTTTGTTTTTGTCGAATTATTCGTTTAAACGATTATTCGGTTCAACTATTATTCGTCAAAAATTTTATTAAAATGTAGATTTTTGTAACTACTGATAGATTTACTTTATACTGGAAACTTTTTGCGCGATTATTCGAATAATTTTTTAATCGGTTTTACGAATAATCGTTTAAAAATTACCAAAAACATTAAAATTTCTGCTAAAAATTTGTTTAAACAAGCAGTAGTTTCAAATTCTGTTTAATTTTTATAATTTTTTTTTGTTTTTATTGAATTATTCGTTTAAACGATTATTCGGTTCAACTATTATTCGTCAAAAATTTTATTAAAATGTAGATTTTTGTAACTACTGTTAGATTTACTTTATACTGGAAACTTTTTACGCGATTATTCGAATAATTTTTTAGTCGGTTTTACGAATAATCGTTTGAAAATTAACAAAAACATTACAATTTCTGCTAAAAATTTGTTTAAACAAGCAGTAGTTTCAAATTCTGTTTAATTTTTATAAATTTTCTTTGTTTTTATTGAAATTATTCGTTTAATCGATTATTCGGTTCAACGATTATTCGTTATAAATTCATTTAAAATATAGATTTTTGCAACCGCTGCCATGTTTACTTTATAACAGAAAACTTTTTGCGCGATTATTCGAATAATTTCTTAACCGGGTTTTCGAATAATCGTTTAAAAATTAACAAAAACATTAAAAATTCTATTAAAAATTCGTTTAAACAAGCAGTAGTTTCAAATTCTGTTTAATTTTTATAAATTTTCTTTGTTTTTATTGAAATTATTCGTTTAATCGATTATTCGGTTCAAGGATTATTCGTTATAAATTCATTTAAAATATAGATTTTTGCAACCACTGCAATGTTTACTTTATAACTGGAAACTTTTTGTGCAATTATTCGAATAATTTCTTAATCGGTTTTCGAATAATCGTTTAAAATTTACCAAAAACATTGAATATTCTGCTAAAAATTTGTTTAAACAAAAAGTACTTTCAAATCCTGTTTAATTTTTATAAATTTTCTTTGTTTTTACCGAATTATTCGTTTAATCAATTATTCGGTTCAACGATTATTCGTTATAAATTCATTTAAAATATAGATTTTTGCAACCACTACAATGTCTACTTTATAACTGGAAACTTTTTGTGCCATTATTCGAATAATTTCTTAATCGGTTTTACGAATAATCGTTTAAAACTATAAAAAATATCAAAATTTCTTTAGAAATTTTGCTTAAACAGAAAATCATTTATAATTTTCCTTAATTTTCTTGATTTTTATTGAATTAATAGTTTAATCGATTGTTCGCTTCAACGATTATTCGTCAAAGTTCTATAATTGTTATACGATTTTGTTGTGTGCTGCCTATTTTAAGGGGTTTTTAAGTAAAAGTGTGTAAAAAAACCAAAAGAATTTTATTTTACATTTTAATTTGTATGTTATTCCAACAGTTTTATTGCATATTTTAAGGCGTTAATAAAAATTCATTATAATGCATAAGTTTACTTGAAAATTCAATTCAAAATATAATAATTTGTTTTATTCGGTTATATAATTAAAGATTATTTACTTTTTCATTTTAAAGGAACATTTAACTTAAACTTTTTTTTAAAAAATGACTTGACATTTTTGTTTTTACATATAATTCTACATAAATTTTTAAATAATATATAAAAAATAGGTTTAATAACTTTTAGGTATAAGAGGAAAATTGTTGTTATTAAAATAAATTTAAAAAAATTACATCAAATTTTAGGATTTTTTTTTAGCAATTTTTAAAACATTTTCTTGTTTTTTTTTTAAATATTCTATTTATAAATTTGCAAAATTTGTTTGCGAATAATCGTTTATTCGATTAATCGGTTTTACGAATAAACGCTCAAAATTACATAAAATAATTTAAAAATTTTGCCAGAAAATTGTTTAAAACTAGAAATAATGTATGAAATTCTATTAAAATTTTATAAAATTCTTTACTTTTTATTGAATTATTCGTTTAATCGATTATTCGGTTTAACGATTATTCGTTTAAATTCATTTGTTAATTACATTATTGTTAATAATATAAAAAATTATATAATTTAGCAATTTTTTATCTGAATAATCGTTTATTCGATTAATCGGTTTTACGAATAATCGTTCAAAATTCAGAAAATTTGACAAATTTCTTGAGATTTTTAATCAAAACAAAAAATTATTTGAAATTCCGTTAAATTTTTGTAGATTTTCTTGATTTTTAAAGGAATTATTAGTTTAATCGATTAATCGGTTTTACGAATAATCGTAAAAAATTCGCTTATATATATTTTTTTGTAAATAATATTATAACAGTATTATAAATTCTATAAATTAACAAATTTTTATACGAATAATCGTTTATTCGATTAATCGGTTTTACGAATAATCGTTAAAAATTCAGAAAATTTGCAAAATTTCTTATAAAATTAGCTTAAAACAAAAAATTATTTGAAATTCCTTTAAATTTTGCTACATTTTCTTGATTTTAAGAAAATTATTCGGTTAATCGATTATTCGTTTGAACGATTATTCGTTTCAAATTTACTTGATATTTATATTTTTGTTATTAGTAACATAGATTCTTTAAATTGACAAAATTTGTATGCGAATAATCGTTTATTCGATTAATCGGTTTTACGAATAATCGTTAAAAATACCAAAAATTAGTAAAATTTTTTCAGAATTTCAATTAAAATAAGAAATTTTATCTTAAATTTTCTAAATCGCAAAATTTTTAAACGAATAACCGTATATCCGATTAATCGGTTTTACGAATAATCTTTAAAAATTCCAAAAAATAGTAACACTTCTTCAGGATTTTAATGAAAACATAACATTCTATCATATACAGTTAAATTTTCTCAAATTTTCTTGGCTTTAGGGAATTTATTCGTTTAATCGATTTAAAGGTTTTACGAATAATCGTTAAAAATTCTGACAATTTTTCAGATTATGTTTGAAAATTACTTAAAAGAAGTAATTAGTTCAAATTCCCTTAAAATTTTGTATATTTTCTTGAGTTCTCGACAATTATTCGTTTAATCGATTAATCGGTTTAACGAATAATCGTTCAAAATTTCGAACATTTTCAAAATTTTATTTGGAAATTACTTTAAACAAGTAATTATATAATATTTTGTTAAATTGTTGCACTTTTTCTTAAATTTTTTAACGATTACTCGATTATTCGTTTCAACGATTATTCGTTAAAATTTCATTTAGAAACTTTAATATTGTTTATTAACTTCAAATGCTATAAATTTTCATAAAAATTAACGATTATTCGAATAATTTTTTATTCGGTTTTACGAATATTCGTTTAAAATTCAATAAGATTTCCAATAAAACGTTTCAATTTCAATTGATATTAATTTTTTTTAAATTTCTTGCTTTTTTCTTAAAGAATTTTTATTATTTTTCGAGTTTTAAGATAAAAATTTTCGAGTTTTTTTAATTTTTTACATTTTTACTTAAAATTTAGTTTATTTTTTAAATTTTCTTATAAAAATTTCACTTTTCAAATACTTAAATTACTAGTAGTTTTACAATTTTCGATTTTTTCAATATTTTTTTTAAATATTAATAATTATTTTATTGATGGCCAAAGTAATCCTTAAACAGTGTTCTGTTGCGTGCCCGAAAACACGTGGCCAGAAAACACTAAACACGATGTGTTAGATGTGTAGAATCACTGCGTTTAGGAGGCGGTGGTGGAGGACGTTTCTTGCGCTGTTGAGCGGCCGCCAGAGCAGCTGCCGCTGCTGCGGCTGCATTTGTAGAGTTGGGAAATTGTGGCTCCAGGTTTACATTACTGGGACTGCTGTTACTGCTGGCATTTGTATTATGGACATTTTCATATAAAGCATATTCATTCATGGGTGGTGGAGGAGCTCCGGCACCATAGTGCTCCTGCACCCAATTGCTAACATTGCCGGTGTCTCGATAATAATGGGAATTCGAGTTGAGATTGTGTGCCAATAGCTCCTCGGAGGAAAAGTCTCGGAAACCCAAAACTTCATGTGGAGTGGTGGCCGGTTCTAGTTTACATTTTTGGGCCACTTGCCACTTCTTGCGCATGACACGTTGCAGATCCTTGAGGAAATCTCGAGGAGGATTTGAGCTGGATTCTTGCAGCCTTTTGGGGGAACCAAAATCTAGTTGCTGTGATACTGAAGATATGTTTGAGGAGCAATTGGATAGCCGTGTGAGATCATTACGGGGTGGTGGTAAAGGTCCTGGCGCATAAAAGGGTTCCTGATGCTGCGCCGGTTCGGGTGAATGCATTTTTCTTCTTAGCAATACGGGGGAATCGGCAAAAGATACTTTTTTCTGTACGGGTGGAGGTGCCGGTGAAGAGTGTGCGTTGGATCCTTTATAATCGGGAGGATTTTTGTAAGGAGGAGCAGATTTCACCGCTGGCTTAATGGGTTTAGCGGGTACTGCGGGCGGTGGTGCCTTATGTACTGAGGCATAGATTTGCTGTTGGTTATTAGCGACTGTGGGGTTTATGTTTTGCTCTTCGGGCGGTGGTGGTGGTGGCAAAGAGGCCAATGACAATTGAGAACCATAAACATCATGTTCCTGCTCATTTAAGGCCGCTGGAGGAGGTGGCGGTGGCAGAGAGTCCAAAGATAAGGTAGAAGAACACATAACCTCTTGGGCATTGATTACCTGAGGCGGCGGAGGCGGTAATTGGTTGTCATATGCCACTCCAGCTCCCACCAAAGGTTTAGCACATATACTGGGTGTGGGTGTAGGTGTTGAATTCGAAGATCCTGACGAATTATTAGCATTCATGCTTTCCGCCGAACCTCTCTTAACCAAACCCGTCATAATCATAGCGCCCGCTGTTGGAGGTCTTCTCTTTAAAGTGCCGCTACCATTGGACTCTTGGGACTTGCGCCTACTGTGCCTTCTGGTCAAAGTGCCACTGTGTTCGGGAGAATTATTTAAATCCTCTTGATCTGCCTGGGTTATTTCTCCCACCTCCTTTAACTGTCTGGTCATAGTGGTCAAGGGCAAATTAGGTTTCATGGAAGGTTTTCTCTTAATAGTGCCCGTGGTAAATTCAGAATCGAAACCATTATTATCATCCGACAAACAACCACTAGAGGAAGAGGAGGAAGCCCTCGATATTCTACCTCCACTAGAGGAAGTAGACATAGAGCTAATAGCCGACGAAACACTGCCACACTGGGAAGGCACCGCCGAGCTAATACTGCTTATCGATTCACTTCTCATGCTAACAGCAAAGCTTGACTGAGACAAACCATCTCCGGTCAATTCATCCATTAAGGCTTTGTGATTATCCCACAATTGTTTGCCATACTTGGCTACTCTTATAGCCGTCAACCATTTCTCCATGGTTTCCAAATCCTCCGCACACAACATCTTCAAAGAGCGGCAAGTCTTACCCAAACTCGAGTCTACAGCCGATTTAAAACCAAAAGTATAGTCAGAAGGAGCTTTCCACTTCTTGCGCCAGCCCAAACCCCGATAAACATTATAACCATTAAACAAAGTCAAACAAGCCAAATCCCGTGCATTCTTAGTTTTCTCTTTGGGGAAATAATACAAGCCCGAAGAGCGTAAAACGAAATGATAACGTTTCCAGCCTTTTTTCGAATCAGCCTTCATGTACAAAGGACCATCTACCGCTATTTCGGCATTAGTCTCAAAGAATTCCTCCAACAACATAGATCTTGTATGTTCATCATGTTGTGAGCCGGGAGCCATTTGTGGACCCGGTAGATATAGTTCAGGACGTATGAATAAAGAAATTTTATCGGATCTTTGTTGGAAGAGCACACGATTGCCAGCATCTGAATTCCAAGTCATTAGATTATCCACCAATAGCTCATGATCCTCAAAGAGACGTTCTGTACAGGAAGAAGAGATCAAATATAAGTAAATCATGATAGATAGATAGATAGATAGATAGATAGATAGATAGATATATAGATAGATAGATAGATAGATCTATAGATATATAGATAGATCGAGAGATAGCTAGATAGATCGATAGATGATAGATCGATAGATAGATCGATAGATAGCTCGATCGCTAGATAGATAGATCGCGCTCGCTCGATGCTCGCTAGCTAGATCGCTGCTACTCGCTCGCTAGCTCGCTCGCTCGCTCTCGCGCCCTCGCTCGCTCGCTCTCGATCGCTCGATCTCTCTCGCTCGCTCGCTCGCTCGCTCGCTCGTAGCTCGCTCGCTCGCTCGCTCGCTCGCTCGCTCGCTCGCTCGCTCGCTCTCGCTCGCTCGCTCGCTCGCTCGCTCGCTCTCGCTCGCTCGCTCGCTCGCTCGCTCGCTCGCTCGCTCGCTCGCTCGCTCGCTCGCTCGCTCGCTCGCTCGCTCGCTCGCTCGCTCGCTCGCTCGCTCGCTCGCTCGCTCGCTCGCTCGCTCTCTCTCGCTCGCTCGCTCGCTCGCTCGCTCGCTCTCTCGCTCGCTCGCTCGCTCTCTCGCTCGCTCGCTCTCTCGCTCGTCCTCGCTCGCTCGCTCGCTCGCTCCTCGCTCGCTCGCTGCTGCTCGCTCGCTCTCTCGCTGCGCTCGCTCGCTCGCTCGCTCGCTCGCTCGCTCGCTCGCTCGCTCGCTCGCTCGCTCGCTCGCTCGCTCGCTCGCTCGCTCGCCGCTCTCTCGCTCGCTCTCGCTCGCTCTCGCTCGCTCGCTCGCTCGCTCTCGCTCGCTCGCTCGCTGCTCGCTCGCTCGCTCGCTCGCTCGCTCGCTCGCTCGCTCGCTCGCTCGCTCGCTCGCTCGCTCGCTCGCTCCTCGCTCTCGCTCGCTCGCTCGCTCGCTCGCTCGCTCGCTCGCTCGCTCGCTCGCTCGCTCGCTCGCTCGCTCGCTCTCTCGCTGCTCGCTCGCTCGCTCGCTCGCTCGCTCTCGCTCGCTCGCTCGCTCGCTCGCTCGCTCTCGCTCGCTCTCGCTCTCGCTCTCGCTCTCGCTCGCTCTCGCTCGCTCTCGCTCGCTGCTCTCGCTCGCTCGCTCTCGCTCGCTCGCTCTCTCGCCGCTCTCGCTCGCTCCGCTCGCTCGCTCTCGCTCTCGCTCTCGCTCTCGCTCTCGCTCTCGCTCCTCTCGCTCTCGCTCGCTCGCTCGCTCGCTCGCTCGCTCGCTCGCTCGCTCGCTCGCTCGCTCGCTCGCTCGCTCGCTCGCTCGCTCGCTCGCTCGCTCGCTCGCTCGCTCGCTCGCTCGCTCGCTCGCTCGCTCGCTCGCTCCTCGCTCGCTCGCTCGCTCGCTCGCTCGCTCGCTCGCTCGCTCGCTCGCTCGCTCGCTCGCTCGCTCGCTCTCGCTCGCTCTCGCTCGCTCGCTCGCTCGCTGCTCGCTCGCTCGCTCGCTCGCTGCTCGCTCGCTCGCTCGCTCGCTCGCTCGCTGCTCGCTCGCTCGCTCGCTCGCTCGCTCGCTCGCTCGCTCGCTCGCTCTCTCGCTCGCTCGCTCGCTTCGTCGCTCGCTCGCTCGCTCGCTCGCTCGCCGCTAGCTAGAGCTCCTCGCTCGCTCGCTCGCTCGCTCGCTGAAGTCGCTGAGTAGCTAGATGTGCCCCGTTTCTCTGGCCCGTTTTCTTGACAGTTTTTCTTGAGTGTCAAGAAATTGTCCTAAAAACTCACCCATTTGTAGATCTCCCAAATTCTCTACCAAAGCCCAATTAGGTTGCATTTGTACATGATTCTTATCGGCCAGTAGGCGTGTTACATGCCCGCATGTCATACGTTCATCTACTAGCAAAGACTTGGAGGCACCATCTGCCGTAAAGGCCTTAACAAATAAACGTCTTATGGGAGCCGTTTCCAATTTATGTAAAGCCAATTGTATTTTGGCGGCTTTTGTCTGGCCCGTCAAAGGCAGACAAGGCTGTTGAGCCATCAAACGTTTGTGGTGTAAAGCTGAACTCATGCCGGAGGAGGCGGATGATTCAGAGGATAAGAGTGAGACGGTATCACTAAAAGCTGAATCATTATCGGGAGATTCAGTACGAGGTTCACGCAAGCTAGTGGAACCGCCACCAATACCACCACCTCCACCTCCTCCTCCTTGTAGCAAACCATTGTGTGCTTGCAGAGAGGCATTTAGACTGTGGGTGTGAGCACTATGACTGCCATTTTCCGAGATACCTGAAGAGGAACATAACGAATGTGTGGTACTACTGCTGCCCGCATCCGACGAACCCGATATTGAGGTGGCACCCGATATAGTGGAATTTGTGCGTGAATGTGTGCGTGTTGAAGAAGGGGTACACATACCTCCGGGTGCTCCGGCAGCTGGCAAAAAGTTTGCATCTCCGGTTGAGATCTGGGCCTCCAATAGGCTTAATTCACCCAATATAACATCTAGTTCGGACTCTTGTGTCTCTTCCAAATTTGCCATTGAGATACGATAGGAATGAGAACGTGCTCCGCCGCCTTCGTTAGCCGACGTTGAGTTTAAAGAACGTTCGGAAAATTTACGCAGTTTTACACCAGCATAAGCGGGTGAAGAAATTAAAGAAGAAGAAGGTGATGGCTGCTGCTGTTGTTGATCACTAACTAAGCTAGAGCCACTCAATTTGGAGGGACTTGTATAAATACCGCCACTGTTGTTGATGGCTGATGCTGCTGCTGTTGCACTATTAACGTTGGAGGCAATTTTGCCAATACTAGGACAAGTATCGGCTAAATTTGTAAGATTTTTAATCTATAAAGTAAACAATAAGAAAACACATATATTAATCATTAATTAATAATAAATAATTATATTAACAACAACAATGTGTGTCACTGATGAGTGATTTTAATAAAAAAAAAAGAAAATAAACCACAAATAACAATTAATTTTATCAAAAATAACAAGCTTGACTTCCTCTAGTTCAAGATTTATTTTTGTAATAACAAAAACAAACGATTTAAGGTCAATTTTATATTAAAATGTTTATAAAATAATTGAAAATTAATTAAAGAAACTGAGGACAACCTTCAATGGTTCTTAAGGTACTTGAAACCTAACCTTCATGCACTATTTGGTTTTAATAGGTTTTCTTTTTTACTTAGCCAAGTACCCAACCTTTTTTAGGTTTATTTACTGGTTTCGTTAGCAAAGTCTCAAACCTTTTAAATTAAATCACAATAGTTTCACTGTTATCTGTTCTAGTTAGCATAGACACTTATCGCTCTCTTTCTCATTAGATTGTAGGACAACTGTCAACTTATCCAAATGCAAAAAACTTTCTTTAACTTTTTCTTATAAGAAAAATGAGTTAATGCCCCACAGCTTTAGTTAGGTCACACTCTATCGCAACTTTTTTTAAGAAAGTCCCATTCCTAAGATCCTATGATCCTATTTAACACAATTCAATCAAAATACTAGTTGAACAAACGCTTTTAGATGTCCTTATTCCAAGAAGATCAAGAAAACTTTCAATATCATAGGAAATTGTAACTCCCAAGATCATAATTCTTTCAGTAATGGAGTTAAGTTATAATTTTTGATGACTACAGCTTCTAATTTCTCTGTTGAACTAAATCTAGCAATAAATGTAATACAAGAGTTGATTACAGATGTCCATTTCTCTAAAAGAACACGAAAACTGTCAAATTCTTAAGATAATGCCACTCCCAAGACCCTAATACTTTCAGTAGGGGAGTTTAGTTAAAAGTTTTGTTGTCTACAGCTTTTACTTTCTCTTTTTAACTAAAATCCGGCAGTGTAAATCAATTACAGTTGACTTAAGAGGTCCATATTCCAACTGCAATGCTAAGACTTTCTAAATCTTCAAGAGACTTCACTAAAAAGACTCTAAACCTTTCAGAAAAAGAGTTTTGTTCTATTTTCTCTCAACTACAGCTTAAGCTTTCTCCAATGAACTAAAATCTATTGTTAAACTTGATCGACAGTTGTTTACTTATGTTCATATTCCAACTGTAAAGGTTAGACTTACAAAATCTTAAAGAGACTTCACTGGAAAGACTATAAACCTTTCAGAAAAGGAGTTTAGTTATATTTTCTCTTATCTACAGCATAAGCTTTCTGCAATGAACTAAAATTCAGGGTTAAATTTGATCAACAGTTGTTTACAGATGTCTATATTCCAAATGTAAAGCTTAGACTCTCAAAATCTTACAAAGACTTCACTACAAAGCCGTTAAACCTTTCGTAAAAAGAGTTTTATTATACTTTCTGTCGTCTGAGGCTTAAGCTTTCTCTAATGAACTAAAATCTAGTGTTAAATTTGATCGACAGTTGTTTACAGATGTCCATATTCCTATTGGAGAGTTTAGACTCTCAAAATCTTAAGGAGACTTCACTCCCAAGCCGCTAAACCTTTCAGAAAAGGAGTTGGGTTCTATTTCTCTTACCTACAGCTTAAGCTCTCTCTATTCAACTAAAAACTAGTGTTAAACTTGATCTACAGATATTTACAGAAGTCCATATTCCTACTGGAGTGTTCAAACTCTCAAAATATTAAGGAGACTTCACTCCCAAGCCGCTAAACCTTTCAGAAAAGGAGTTGGGTTATATTTTTTCTTACCTACAGCTTAGGCTCTCTCTATTCAACTAAAATCTGGTGTTAAACTTGATCTACAGTGGTTTACCAATATTGGAGAGCTTAGACTCTCAAAATCTTACAAAGACTTCACTCTCAAGTCGCTAAACCTTTCAGAAAAGGAGTTTATTTCTATTTTCTCTCACCTATGGCTTAAGCTTTCTCTAATGAACTAAAATCTAGTGTTAAATTTGATCTACAGTGGTTTACCGATATCCATATTCCTACTGCAATGCTCAAACTCTCAAAATCTTAAGGAGACTTCACTCCCAAACCGCTAAACCTTTCAGAAAAGGAGTTTGATTTTATTTTCTGTCGCCAAAAGCTTAAGCTTTTACTAGTGAACTAAAATCTAGTGTTAAACTTGATCTAGAGTTATTTACAGATGTCCAAATTCCAACTGGAATTGGAAAGTTTTGCAAAATCTTTATATTTTGTAAGAAACTTGATATATTTCGAAAGAAAGGCTTAAGTTCTTAAATGTTTTTATGCCAAAAGCTTCTTTCTTTCCCCAAATAAGTTTCAATTCAAACAAAATATCATCTTAGCAACTAGTTTTAGCTTCCAAATTCACTATTAATCCTAATCTTCTAAGGAATTCCGCTTGATTATATTCATATATTTAAAAGCTTTAAAATCTCTCCCTTTTCTTGGTTTTAGTTTAAAACAAACAATTGTAAAAACTATATAAAGGCATTGACCTTTACAATTATTATTTCTCAACTTTCCTCTCACCCAACCGCCTCTTTTCAAAACTTTCCTTAGTTAGTAAGTTCTAAAAACAACAATAATAACCAGGAATAGAGGGAAAAAATGAAAAACTAGTAAAAACTAAATTGTTGATTTTTCCCCAACCAAACGAACGACCACCAACCAACCAACAAACCGACCATTTTTATTAAAAACTTTCTATTTATTTTCCTTTTTTTTTCAAAAGAGTAGAGTTAGTGATGAAGTGAAATCCACTCTCTCACACTAATTTTTTTTATTTTGTTATTGTGGTCTACCTATAAACACAGTGAATGAAGAATGAAGGGTTTCCCTAACAACTTTCCTACTACCACCCCCCCCCCCCCCCCCCCCACCCCTTTTCCTTCCCTTTCTATACAGCTAAGGTATGGTGTTAAGTTTAAGACTAGGAAAAGGGAAAGAATTTTTAACCTCAAACTGATTTTCTTTGTTGGATTTACTAGAGTAGAAAATATTTATTATGATTTGTTTTAGATTTAAGTTTAAACTAACTCTCCTCCAGCACTCACTCAGTCACTCTTTCACACAGTCATTTAGTCACTGAAACAGTCACTTAACAAGTAAGTAAACGTACAATTATTATTTCAAGAAATATATGAGGGATGGTTTGGTTTTAGATTGGATAGTTGGTTGGATTGTATATGGTGGGTTAACCAGCCATTGCAACCAACATTTAAATTTCAAATATATGAGCAATAAAAAAATAATAATAAAAGCAAAATATGGTTTTATATGTAAAGCAGCTACTACTCATACACATTGTAATAAATTCTGTAAATGTAGATGGGGGGGGAGGGAGAAACACAACGTTTCTAAGGGGAGAGAGCAACTACTAAATGTAATTTGTAACTTCCGAATTAGTTGCTGTGTTGGTTTGGTTTTTATTACAAATTATCGCTATTAGTATTAAAATTTATACTTTAGTTTGTTGTTGGCGGGGGTAGGTTTTCTTAGGGGGGAGGGGAGTTTGTTTTTTTTTTTATTTCTGTTTTCCATATAATTATGTTTTTGTTAGTAAAACAATATGGTTGCTATTTTGATAATATTTCAAATATTTCAAGGTTTTGTTTTGTAAAATAACAATAACAACAACAATAAAAATGACTCATTATTGTTGTTAATTAAAGATTAAAAGTTTGAAAAACAGAAAAAAAACATCAATTCTAAGTCTAGGGAAATTAGTTTATTCAGCAAAATGAACTTGTAATAAATTACAGCCTTACAGATAAAGTCTAAGGAAAATTACTTGGAAAAATAATGAAATAAATTTAAAAAAAGAAAACAAAAACATTAGACTAGACTATAAACTAGGATATAGACTAGACTATAGACTAGATTATAGACTAGACTATAGACTAGACTATATACTAGACTATAGACTAGACTATAGACTAGACTATGGACCAGACTATAGACTAAACTATAGACTAGACTATAGACCAGACTATAGACTAGACTATAGACTGTATTATAGACTAGACTATAGGCTAGACTATAGACTAAACTATAGACTAGACTATAGACTAGACTATACCCTAGACTAGAAAGTAGGTTATAGACTAGACTATAGACTAGACTATAGACTAGACTATAGATAGACTAGACTATAGACTAGACTATAGACTAGGCTATAGACTAGGCTATAGACTGGACTATAGACTAGGGTATAGACTGGACTATAGACTAGACTATCTAGTCTATAGACTAGACTATCTAGTCTATAGACTAGACTATATACTAGACTATCTAGTCTAGTGTATAGTATAGTCTATAGTCTGGTCTATAGTCTAGTGTATAGTCTAGTCTATAGTCTAGTCTATAGTCTGGTCTATAGTCTAGTCTAGTCTATAGTCTAGTCTATAGTCTAGCCTATAGTCTAGTCTATAGTCTAGCCTATAGTCTAGTCTATAGTCTAGTCTATAGTCTAGTCTATAGTCTAGCCTATAGTCTAGTCTATAGTCTAGCCTATAGTCTAGTCTATAGTCTAGTCTATAGTCTAGTCTATAGTCTAGTCTATAGTCTAGTCTATAGTCTAGTCTATAGTCTAGTCTATAGTCTAGTCTATAGTCTAGTCTATAGTCTAGTCTATAGTCTAGTCTATAGTCTAGTCTATAGTCTAGTCTATAGTCTAGTCTATAGTCTAGTCTAGTCTAGTCTAGTCTATAGTTAGTCTAGTCTAGTCTAGTCTAGTCTAGTCTATAGTCTAGTTATAGTAAGTCTATAGTCTGGTCTATAGTCTAGTCTATAGTCTAGTCTAGTCTATAGTCTAGTCTATAGTCTAGTCTATAGCTAGTCTATAGTCTAGTCTATAGTCTAGTCTATAGTCTAGTCTATAGTCTAGTCTATAGTCTAGTCTATAGTCTAGTCTATAGTCTAGTCTATAGTCTAGTCTATAGTCTAGTCT